CATTTCACACAGCGTGATTGTGAATCAGCGATTGGCAAATGTCGACGTCTTTGATAATTCACACTGCGGGATTGTCACTCGTGTGAACGAGCACTGATTTAGCATTTGTCTGTGATTTCGCAAAACCTGTTGGCGAGTGAAAAATCGGGCTAAAATCGTGAAGTGTGAACTCGGCATAACAGTGGAATACAGCAAGTTGACAACTGTTAACTATTCACCCTGTGGCCTACTCATCCATCCTGATGCTCCCTGGCTTGGTGCCTCCCCTGATGGTGTAGTGTTTGATCCCACTGAATATTCTCAATTTGGGCGTGTTGAAATTGTTGACAGCAAATATTTGCAAATGAAAGTTTCTCACTCTAAATAAGAGCCATGATATCAAAGATTGTGCCAGGCCTTTCGGCCTAGTCCTTTTCATTCATCAAGTGACTCTGACTCAAACTGGTCCTTTCTCATCAACCAACTTCAGCAAGATCTTGGGTTTTCGCATCAGGAATCTTTGTTCATACAGACGTGCAAGTATCAAACTTAGTCTTATTAATCGATACATTAAGTATCAGTTACACCTTTTTACAAAGAAAGAGAATCTCAGAATCTGACGTATCCCTGAAGGCTTTGATCTGTTGAATATGCATGCAAAGTGTTCCATAAAATCCATTCTTTATGCCTCTTTCTATGCTGAGTTAAACTTTAACCCTTTCCTATACCAACTGTATGTGTGTGTGTGTGTGTGTGTATGTGTATGTTAGACCGGCTTAATGTGTTTATGTAGTATGTTAGACTAGTTTAAGTGTTTATGTAGTTAATAAAACCTTACTTGTATCACACTTGACGTGTTCATTGTTTACTCATAACCGGAGTCAATAATCATGCAGATTTACGTTACAAACTTATAGAATTGTACAGTAAGAAAGTGATATCCTTTAACCAGGAAATTAACGTTCTTAGAATTGACAAGACGGTTGACCCTGAGTGGTCAGCTAAATATCTACAGTGGATCTAAAATATGAATAGTTAATTATAACTAGTTATGGTTAATTATTCATATTTCCCATGAGCTGATTCGCTACAATACTATTGGCAAGTACAGGGACAACTACTGGTCTCAGGAATGCAGTGGTGTGACTTCATGGTGTGGGCCCAGGAGGATTATTTTGTCCAGCGTATACACAGTGACATTTCCATTAAAGGAAATTATCATCTTTGCATAATAATAATAATAATACTAATACAAGGAAGGAATAACTGACAACGTACCATTGAATTACAGAAAGAAAGAAAAAAACAAGGTACCGTCACGAAGTTCTTGTTTGGCAAAATGAATATAAGCTATTCTGTGTCTTAAGACAAGTTAAATTAGAACAAATGTATTATATTTCTACGGTAGAGGAGAATAGCCAAACCAAAAAGAAACAAAGAAAGCACAATGTAACATTCATGAAACCGTACTCAATGGAATGCGCACATGTGAGTGGGGCTAGTGCATCTAGTGATCGCTGATGTTCTGTGGCTCAGCTGCGTGTGGATCGCGAGCTGTGTGTGTGTGGATTGGGCAAGGCTAAAAGGGCGGAACGAAAGTCTCAAAATTCAAATGAATCAAATAGAATCGACTCAGAAGAGACGTGAATGAATGCACGCATGTCACCAGATCCACAAATGCACATTTTAATCGCTACACGCACAAATCATGATACTTTAATACAAACTATAACATTTGTATGCACAAATACGTCTCTATTTGAACAAAATGCTGCACAATAATGTAATTCTTAAAAAACAATTTTGAAGATACAAATCAGCTGACTTTTAAGTCTAGTCAGTAACACTTTAGTATAGGGACCAATTCTCACTATTAACTATTTGCTTACTACCTGCCTATTATTAACATATTGGCTGTTTATTAGTACTCAAAGCACATATTCTGCATGACCATATTCTACATCCCTAATCCTACCCAATACCCAGAGCTTGAATTGAGGGGGGATGCGGGGGGATGGCATCCCCCTGGTTGAAAAAAATGACAAAAAGCATCCCCTTGGTAAAACCACCATCCCCCCATACCATCCCCTTTAGATTAATAATGCGTATTATGTAAAACTTATCATGCAAATGAAATGTTAAAATTCTCTACTTATGATAATTCACAAACTAAATAGCGGCGATTGGCCAATCAGAACTCGGTACTGTAACAAGCTGCTCACAAACGGAAGCAAGTTTTCATCATTTTTCGTGCAAAATGTGTATAAAGCAAATCTGCAGGACCGGGCAGTTTTAGCAATGTGGTCTGAGAAATTCAGCTTATCATCAATCACAACTCCAAGGTTTCTAGCTGTTTTTGAAGGAGTTATGGTTGATGAGCCTAACTGGATGGTGAAATTTTGATAAAGTGATGGGTTTGTTGAAACCATAAGCAGTTCTGTCTTAACCAGGTTGAGTTGAAGGTGATGGTCCGTCATCCAACAAGAAATGTCTGTTAGACATGCTGAGATGCGAGCAGCTATCGTCGGATCATCAGGATGGAATGAGAGGTAGAGTTGAGTGTCATCAGCATAGCAGTGATATGAAAAGCCATGTTTCTGAATGACAGAACCTAGTGATGCCATGTAGACAGAGAAGTGGTCCAAGTACTGAGCCCTGAGGCACCCCAGTAGCTAGATGTTGCGATTTGGACACCTCACCACTCCAAGATACCGTGAAGGACCTAGGTAAGACTCAAACCACTGGCGTGCGGTACCTGAGATGCCATTTTCCAATAGGGTTGACAGGAGAATCTTTTTTTTAAATTTTAGAATATAGAATCTTTTAGAATTTTCCTTGATTATAATTTAAAGACATTCCCCGACATTACGTTATTGTGCTGTATGTGTGACGGATTGAGAGACGATAGTAGAGCTGACATTATCGAGTCACCGACTTTACAAAAACCAAACAAAAACACGTCTTGATAGACCAAAAGCATTCACTGCGTGATGAAGCCTGTTAGAATACAGTTAGAATGCACTTATAATTCAAGCAATGAAAGAAAAAAACGATGTATGAATTTTTACGTTTTTATATTCATTGCACATTAAGCAATGTAGTTTTCTGAATATCAGCACAATGTGCTATTAATTTTATACAACAGTACATAGCAACATGGTGTTTTTGTTCCTTGAATGAATCCGATTTTGAACGAATTGAGTGAGCCAGTGATTCAGCAGTTCATTCAGATGAACTCACTTGTTTCGTTTCTAATTGAATCAGCCATTTTAAACGAATTGTTTGATTTGAATGATTCAATAAATCATTTATTTAAATATGGACTTGCCGCCACCTACTGGCGGTTTTATTGTCATCATTATTTATCCATGACAAGCCTAAAACAGACAAGCAGCACAAAAACACATTTAGCAAAATATTGACCAAAATTCCTCCATTTCAGGCACCAGAAGGAAAAAAGCTTATAAATAATAGTTAATTTAATAAGGCTAATTTTTCATTAAATAAAATCCTTTTTAAAAATTACACAAATTTTGTAATCATTATGTAAAATTAGCATGAATTACTACATGAACCCCCCACCCGCCCCCCGAAAAAGAAACTAACACCATCCCCGCTAAAAAATGTTTACAATTCGACCACTGCCAATACCTAAACTTAATAACTACCTTACTAACTATTAATAAACCGCACATTAGGAGGATTTTATTAAGGTCCTTAAATACACACTCCAAAAAAATGCTGTGTTAAATACAACCCAGCGCTGAGTAAAATATGGACAAACCCAGCGATTGGGTTGTTTTCAACCAACAGTTGGGTTAAATGTTTAACCCAACCTTCTGGACAGTAACCCAACTGCTGGGTCAAAACAACCCACATTGTGTGGTTTGTCCACATTTTACCCAGCGCGGGGTTGTATTTAACACAGCATTTTTTAGAGTGCACCGTTTTAATATATACTCTATATATAACCACTTGAGAAATTTAAACATGTATCTAATTTTCCCATCTTATGATTTTCCAATTATAGGGTGTGGCCTATGAATTAATTCAAACTCGTTTGGATTAGTGTTTCAGAACTGCATGCTATGGTTAACTAAGATAACGTGTAGCATGCTTGGTACCTATGAACACCAATTTTCATTCTCTGTTTATTTTACATTACATTTTGCTAACTCTGTGACACATTAGTATTATAAGAATTATAAAAAATAAAGATTCTTCTCTTACAGTTTTTTCAACTGCTTACACACATTTTCAAAACTTTGCCTCTCTTTTTCAACATTTTACACACAAATCCAAGAATTGCACACACAAAATGCGTAATGTCTCACATTTCTTGCAAAATGAAGGACTGCATTCAGAATATCATAAACACATCTCAAAAGCAAACATTTTCAAACACCTTTGTTCAGAAAGTGAAAGTAAATTAATCTTGCATAAAAAAATAAAAAAAACTTTTGTGAGTCATTCCTGATGGAGAGAAATTAGAGGCATTCATCGGGATCTGAGGAGATCTGCAATTTACAGTGAGAAATGGACTCGAAGTATTCAGCACATATTCGAAGACCAAAAAAAGAGGTTTATAAATTGTGAATTTTTATTTCTGCATATGGTACTTGACATAAAAACATGTTGAAGCATGATGTAGGTGGGGAAGACAATCATTCACATATTTTCCTACATAAGGATTTGTCTCTAGATTTGAAATAATCAGTGAACGAAAAAAAAAATATGAATATGATAATAAACAGACATGTGTCGCATCATCAGTTAAAATGGACTATTACAATATTTAAAAAGCCTTCTATACAAAGTTTATTAAAAAGATTACATGAATCAAGGTTAGAAAATCGCATGTATTTATATTATGATTTCTGTAATAACTATTGATGGTGATTAAAGGTACTTCTGTTGATATCTGTATTTATTATTACATTTAAAGCATTCACAGTATTTGAAGCAAAGCTGTACGCAAATATCCATAATATAATTGACATTAAGATAAATCTTGCTGTATTCTGGACTGTTATTTGTAGAGAATATTTTATTCTAATATTGTATTCATCACTATTTCCTCTGGGTGCTGCGAGTCCTTCCTTCCTGCAAAATAATTCAACACTAAAGCATTTACTGAGCTCTCATGAGTGCAGATCGTTCCAGATCAATGTGAATCAGCTGAAAAACTCACCAGCTCTTCTTGCACAGATGATCTGAAGAAGAATCACAGTAGGAGCTGCAAACACTGCAAACTCAACGATAATCACAATCACTGCAGGACAGATGCGTGGACAGATGAGAGAGAGAGGAGAGAAACTGTAAATGACTGAAGTCAAGGCTATTAAACTATAAATGATTATGTCCTGACAAAGTATTTACAGAATTATCAACAGTTTCAATGGTGTATAGTTAGAGTAAATTCATTCTAGGGGCTCTTGCAAAGCAAGGTGTTTTTTTAGGCAGCTGTTCTCTCTCAATCAGACAGTTATAGGAGCCTCCATGTGGCCTGACAGAGAATGGGAGCGGGTTTTGCTTCAAAGAAGCAAAGCTCATGATCAGCAGCTCTAACATCTCTAGAGAAAGCTCAGTTTACAAACAGATACTGTTTCTAGAAGAACCCTCTGGAGGATTATTTGAGTTCAGATTAACCATATTGTAGAAAACATACAGTAAACATTCATTTTAGGCACAGTCAACAGTCTAGTTAGTTAAACGAGCCTTGTATCCCCCCAGATAAATGTTTATAAGCTACAGACAACAGACTATACCGTGCATATCTATCAACGCCATGGACTTCATTTAATGGACAAATCTGATTAAAGAGCTACTGTGCAGATTACATGTGTGGAGAAATAAAAAACAGATCGTGAGAGCCTGAAGTGAGAAAGACTGCTGCTGTGTGTGAGTAATGATGAACCTCGTGCAGGAGCTGCTGCCGTAGTTTGTCTTGATGTCGTCTCAGAGTTTGAGCTGCTGACTGGAATCTGTGTTGTTGAATCTGGAGCTGCAGGAGATGAAGGTTCAAATGCATCCAGGGCTGGGAAGGTTCCTTTTAAAATGAATTTCATTACAGATTACAAAATGCATGTGTGACTGAGTTAATAATAAGGATGGTGTGTTGGGTGGTGTGTAACTTCCTGACGTTTGACTTCCGCCGTCTCCTTCCGGTGTCGTGATTCTGGAAACGCTATAGTGAGGTATGAGCGTGGCCCTTGTTTTAAATGCTTTAAAAGCTTGTATAAAGATGTTTTGTTTTGTTTGTTGTATTTAAGTTTTGTTTTCTTTACTTGACAGATCTTTCTTTGCACATGGAACCCTGCTGTTTTGTTTGATTTATTTTTGTCATTTAAACTTTGTTTATATTTATGGTTATGATTATTTTTGTATTGCTGTAAATTTAGCTGGTTATGTTGAATTGTTTTTGATAGCTGAGCAACCGTTTAGGTTTGTTAATTCAATTCTCTGTTTTGTAGGAATCAGCCTGCATGGTCGTCCGGTACAGTAACAGTAAGTGGGTATTGCTATGGATGATGCCAGCATGATTACTAACTATGCCCACAGTGATTAGGTTAATAGTCTCTGTAAGAGATTTATTCATAGAAATATTGTAGAGCACAATATTATGTTGCCATATTCAAATAAAAGTTTTAAAAAATGTTGATGGCCACATTCAAATAAAGATTTTAAAATGCAGGATACGTGTCACTAATTAAACAAGTATATGTTCAGCTTATTGTTAGCCTCTTACATGTATGCTTCTCAAAAACAATTAGCGGATAAAAGACAAGAACAGCTGTTACTTCTTGCCCAACTGGTTAATGAAAACAAGGATATAATCAAAGGAAAATTAGGAGTTGGGGTAACCTCCAAAACCAAAGGTGATACCTTTTTAAAAGGTCATTATCATCAAATGTTTCTAAAATGTTTATATTCTGAGGCAGATTGGAGGCAACAGCCATTTTATGATGTTCGTGGCTTGGTCTTAGTGACTTGGGAGTCCTCTTCACTACTTCTAACTTTTCACAGATTTAGGAGCTAGTTTGAGTGCTAAAATGCTTTGTGAAAAAAAAATTCAGGAGTCCTAAATTTAGGACTGACATGCCCATTATGTTTAAGATTTTATTCTAAATCGGCGAGTTATGAGCTACTTTTAGCCTTAAGATGTTTTGTGAATACAGGCCCAGATCTTTTAAAGTTGTGATTTTCTCTTATATTTATACTATACTAAAGTTGATCATCCATCTAAATAATGCCTACTGCTTGTTAATACAAGTGTTGAACTTGAAGGTCACGTCTCTGTTCTTCCTTAATTTATGGGCCATTGAACTTGTGTTGCTGTGTTCAGTTATTTTCGTGGGTACAAAACCCTGGTGGCGTAGTCGGAATCTAGTGTGATAGCCGAGTATCGCTTGGTTACACATGCTTTAAAAAGTATTTTGCAACGTATTTTGTTACATTACTTAAGTTTAGTAACTTAATCTAAATACTTCGGAATACTTAAGGTAAAGGGCATACTAACTTTGATAGTTTTGTCTTGTTTTTTATGGTTAACACTTCTAAATAAAAATGGGTTGTATGAATGCATTTAAAACAATTATAAATGCATAAATAATGCTATAAGATTGTTTTAAATATAACATTTTGAACATAGAAATATAAAATGATGGGAGGAAAATATGTTTTTAAATATGAAACTAAAACCACCAGTATGTGGTGGCAAATTACTGTCTTAATGAAAGAGTCATGTAATCGTCTCGGTTACATATGTAACACTCGTTCCCTGAAGGAGGGAATGTAGACGTCACTTCGAGAGACCAATCTACTTCAAGTGTAAACTAAATGAGCCAAGCTGCTGCTCATCACGGCACGAGCATAAGTAGGCAGCAGGTGCAATGCATATTCAGGTTTTTGCCGAGGAGCCGAGCCGGGGACCTGGCCGCTCAGCGGTGATACAGCGGCCGTGGCGACGGGATGTGGCGTCTCCGTTCCCTCCTTCAGGGAACGAGGGTTACATACGTAGCCAAGACGTTCCCATTTCAGTCAGTCACTATGAATCACGTCACGAATTGGGATCCCTACCAAAGCAACACGGATGCTGCCCTTCCAGTGCCACTAGTAAGCCACCTGATTACCCCCGTGGCTACTGGGGTGGAAGATAGGACAGGGCTTACGCGGAGAGAGTCTATTACTGTTGTTCCTCTTGACCTATACAGTAAGACTACTGGATAACACTGGGAAAGCGTGCCCTTTCCAGGGACGCTGTAAAATCCACATCCTGCCCGCCAGGAAGTATCATTTGGAGATTACACACATGGACTAGGTATTAAGGGCAGTACAACATTTGGAATGTCTCTGAGGTGGCTCCGGCCCAGTTAGGAGGGAGGAAACACAGACAGAGACGGCAGAGTAGAGTCTGCCAAGGAAAAGACATGGACTCACCAAGAGGGGAACCGTACCATGGAAGAATACACACATGGGATCACCGTGGGGATCACAACAAATGGACACCTAGCCTAGCACAGGGGTCAACCAGCAGGCGTACTTACAAGTGGTAGGCCTGGCGCCGGACGCTCCACCACGTTTGGTTGCCAAGGGTGACGGAGGAACTCCACAGGGTTCGCCTTGTGGGGAACTGTTCTGAAGAGCAGAATAAGGGCACGTATCCGGTTCGTAGAAGGGAATGGGTGACACCGTAACAACAAGCAGTTCCTCTGGCTTTACTGGCTACTCGAGGCGAGTACACGAGAGGACACTGGCTCCACACGAAGGCTAAAAAACCTAGCAAACGTGTTTGGTGTCGCCCAGCCTGCAGCTCTACACATATCTGTCAGCGAGGCGCCTTGTGCCAACGCCCAAGAGGAAGCAACACTCCTTGTCGAGTGTGCTCTCAACCCTAGGGGGCAAAGCATGCCTTGGGTTTGATATGCCAAGACGATGGCATCCTAACCTCTGCTTGGAGATAGCCTTTCCCTTCTGCTGGCCTCCGTAACAGACGAAGAGCTGCTCTGAGGTCCTAAAGCTCTGCATACGGTCCACATATATGCGTAAAACGCGAACGGGACCGAGCAAAGCTAGGACTGGGTCTGCTTCCTCCAAAGGCAGCGCTTGCAGGTTCACCACTTGATCCCTGAAAGGCGTGGTGCCTTGGGCACATATCCAGGCCAGGGTCTCAGGATAACGTGAGAGTCAGCCGGCCAAATTCCAGGCACGATTCGTTGACCGAAAATGCATGATGAAAGCCAGTGCAGTTAAGAGCACTGTCTTTATTGACAAAGTTCTCAGCTCTGCAGACTGCAACGGCTCAAAAGGGGCCCTCTGCAATGCCGTAAGGACCAGAGGGAGATCCCAAGAGGGTACGGGGTTCGGGCAAGGAGGATTCTTTCTCCTTACACCTCTCAGGAACCTGATGATCAGGGCGTGGTCCCCCAGGGACTCACCATCAACAGGATCGTGGTGTGCGGCAATTGCTGCAATATACACTTTTAGGGTGGAGGGAGACAGCCTTCGCTCCAACCCCTCCTGGAGGAAGGAAAGCACAGCTCTGACAAGGCATGTCCGGGGGTCTTACCGGTGAAAAGAACACCATTCAACGAACAGGTTTCACTTCAAAGAATAGGCACGCCTCATAGAGGGTGCTCTTGCCAAAGTGATGGTGTCTACCAACGCCTGGGGTAGATCATCTAGGACCTCTGCGTCGCGCCTAGGGACCACACATGGAGGTTCCACAGATCTGGATGTGGGTGCCAGAGAGACCCCTGTCTCTGAGACAGTAGATCTTTCCTCAGAGGAATGCACCAGGGAGGCGCTGTCGCGAGGAGCATTAGTTTCGGTAACCAGGTCTGGGAGGGCCAGTAAGGCGCAACTAGCAGGACTTGCTCCTCGTCCTCCCTGATTTTGCACAGTGTCAAATGCAGAAAGGTTAATTCATCCGTTCATGACCTCAAGGTTAGATTATTGTAATGCTTTATTGGGTGGTTGTTTTGCATGCTTATAAAACAAACTCCAGCTGGTCCAAAATGCAGCAGATTGAGTTCTTACTAGAACCAGGAAGTATGACCATATTAGCCCGGTTCTGTCAACACTGCACTGGCTCCCTATTAAACATTGTATAGATTTTAAAATACTACTACTTACTTAAAGCCTTGAATGGTTAGCATCTCAGTAAATAAGCAAGCTCTTATCGTATTATAGTCCTCCACGTCCGCTGCGCTCTCAAAACTCTGGCAATTTGATAATACCTATAATATCAAAATCAACTGCGGGCGGCAGATCCTTTTCCTATTTAGCACCCAAACTCTGGAATAATCTACCTAACACTGTTCAGGAGGCAAACACACTCTGTCAGTTTGAATCTAGATTAAAGAGCCATCTCTTTAACCTAGCTTACACTTAACACACTTATACATTTCTATTACTCAAATCCGTTAAAGGATTGTTAGGCTGTGTTAATTAGGTCAACAGGAACTGGGAACACTTCCAATAACACACGATGTACTTATTACATCGTAAGAAGAATGGCATCTATGCTAATATTAGTCTGTTTCTTTTTTATTCCGAGGTCACCGTAGCCACCAGATCCAGTCTGTGTCCAGCCCAGATGGTCACTGCAGTCACCTGGATCCAGTCCGTATCCAGTCCAGATGGTGGATCAGCACCTAGAGACGACCTCAGCAGCCCTGAATTTTAGCGGAGACCAGGACAACTAGATGAGCCCCAGAGACAGATCCCCAGTGAAGACCTTGTCTCCTAGATGGCCATCGGGACAAGACCACGGAACCAGATGAGCCCTCTGCACAATCTAACTTTTGCTTCAGCATGGATCAACTTGATGATTCGTCTGGCCGGAGGAGAACTGGCCCCCCGACTGAGCCTAGTTTCTCCCAAGGTTTTTTCTCCATTCTGTCACCGATGGAGTTTTGGTTCCTTGCCGCTGTCGCCTCTGGCTTGCTTAGTTGGGGACAATTAATTTCTAGCGATATCGTCGACTTGATTGTACAGATACTATTTAAATTGAAATGAGCTGGACGATGACATCACTGAATTCAATGATGAACTGCATTTAACTGAAAAATGTGTGTTTACTATTGTCCTTTTCCATTGACACACTATTTTCCTATTTGATACTGTAAAGCTGCTTTGACACAATCGGTGTTGTTAAAAGCGCTATATAAATAAAGGTGACTTGACTTGACTTGACAGTGTCTGTGCAAGTAGGCTCACTGGAGGAAACACATATTTGCGTAGGCCCCGGGGCCAGCTATGCGCCAGTGCATCCGTGCTGAGGGTCCCCCTAGTCAGGGAATAGAACAGCTGGCAATGGGACATGTCTGGAGAGGCAAACACCTGTGTGGCTCCGAAGTGTCTTGAAATCGGCAGTGTCGTGAAAGCTTGTTAGCGGCATGATTGAGTAGGCCCGGTATGTAAATGGCACGAAACGACCTCAGATGCTTCTGACTTCATAGGAGGAAATGGCAGGCGAGTTGCAACATACGACAGGAGTGTAGACCACCCTGATGGTTGATGTACGCAATGGTCGCAGTGTTGTCCGTACAGACCAGTACGTGCTTGTCTCGTAGCAGCGTTTTGAAGCGGCCCAGCCAATGCATATCAGTCCAAATCCCTGAAGCTGCATGCCCGTTGTATGTAGCACCCCAGCCTGTGGTGGAGGCATCCGTGAACACAACAGCATGCCTGGACACCTGCCTATAGAAATGCAGGGTCTGACCACAGGCTGAAAGCTTGGCGGCAGGCCAGAGTGATCGTCACTTGGTGTGCAGCATTGCCATGCCCATCTTGGGACTCGGCCATGAAGCCAGTGCTGAAGCGGCGTCATATGAAGCAGTCTGAGTGGCATTACTGCGGCTGTGGATGTCATATGCCCCAGGAGCCTCTGAAATTGTTTCAGTGGGGCCGCTGTCCTGCCCTTGAGAGAATTCAAGCAGTTCAGCATTGACCGAATACGTTCCTCTGTGAGGCGTGCTGTCAGGTTGACTGAGTCCAACTCCATACCAAGAAAAGAGATCCTCTGCACTGGAGAGTTTGCTCTTTTCCCAGTTGACCCTAAGTCCCAACTAGCTGAGGTGACTGAGCACCATGTCCCTGTGGTCGCACAGCTGACCCCATGACTAAGCCAGAATTAGCCAGTCGTCAAGATAGTTGACAGTGTGAACGCCGTGTTCTCTCATGGGAACAAGGGCTGCCTCCACAACCTTCGTAAAGACGCGGGCAACAAAGACAGCCCAAAGGGAAGGACCTTCTACTGATATACCCATCCCTCGAACGCAAAGCAGAGAAATGGCCTGAGCCAAGAGAGAATCGAGACATGAAAGTACGTGTACTTCAGTTTGATCGCTGCAAACCAGTCTCGGGGACAGATGCATTCGAAAATGCATTTCTGTGTCAACATCTTGAACGGTAGCTTGTGAAGAGCCCGGTTCAAAACTCGCAGGTCCAAGATTGGTCGTAACCAGGGATTGAAATGAACTTTTTCTCTCACCAGCCAATTTGGCTTCTAAATTTTTAAGTTACCGGCCATTCATAACTTCTACTAGCCAAAAAAAAACAAAAACACGAAAATTAACCAACAGCTTGAAAAGGCTGTCTAAACTGGACATGACAAAGCGACCTTAAAGATTAAAAGATTAAAGGTAAAGATTTTTACCTTCATAAAGAATTTTTTTCTAAAAATGTGCATCATCTTTTGAGTCAAATTCTTATATTTAATCAGTCAATTACAAACCCAATTCCAAAAAAGTTGGGACACTGTACAAATTGTGAGTTGTCTCCTCAGTCCCCAGACGTTTGCAGACTGTTCTAAAAAGAAGAGGGGATGCCACACAGTGGTAAACATGGCCTTGTCCCAACTTTTTTGAGATGTGTTGATGCCATGAAATTTAAAATCAACTTATTTTTCCCTTAAAATTATACATTTTCTCAGTTTAAACATTTGATATGTCATCTATGTTGTATTCTGAATAAAACATTGACGTTTGAAACTTCCACATCATTGCATTCTGTTTTTATTCACAATTTGTACAGTGTCCCAACTTTTTTGGAATCGGGTTTGTATAATAATACATTTAGGCTGTTACTAAAATGAAATCAGTATCAAGAAAATTAATCTTTGCAGAAGTTGCATATGAAGTGGCATTTAGATGTATTTACACATGTTAATTCAGCTCAGAGAGACATGGAATGCTTTAACCTGCAGTTACAAATGCATAAATAATGTTTTGATATTTTAAACATGGAATATTTGAAATTATTTGCAAAATGAAAAGATACTTTAAATGTGAAATTAAAACCGCTGCAAGAGGGAGATCCCAAGAGGGTACGGGGTTCGGGCAAGGAGGATTCTGTCTGGCAGCAAGTCACTGTTAATAAGCAAGTCATTGCGATTGAACCAAATAATTTTAAATGGTTGATTCATTCAAGAACGAAACACCGCCATGTTGCTCAGAGATGCAAAACAGTGTGGTGGCTGTGTTTGGAATGATTTTGTTGGGGAAATAGAGCAAAAACAGCCAATATGGTGTCTAAAACATTAGTTTCTTGATATTGACATTGTTTTTTGAACTGTTGCATAAAATCAGTATCACATTTGAAACCAGGCTGATTTTTTAAGAAAAAAATGGCACTCTTCATGTTACATTGATTAAAAATATGAATTGATATAAATATATAAATTTTCTGCCCCCTTATCTTGAATTATGTGATCATTCTTAATGCATATTTATAGACTGAATCATGTAGTGAAAGAACGCAGTCTAAATGCACACACACACTAAATTAGTCTAACCAGACTTCATCACGTCGCATATGTGTGCACTCTGTAGGTGGGTTTTGTTTGGTTTTTGCAATATACTCGTTAAGTTATGATGTCTCATGAGTTCAGTATTTGCGCTAAAAAGATTTACTCGGCAGGTTTGCCCCCAATGAAACCCTCAAGTTACCCTGCCTATTCACCGCAGTAGCCATCTTCTGCGGAACAGAAGAGGAACTAGATCGGGGCATAGGTAAGGGGACTCCACCCCTCTCAACCGCAAAGTCGTAATGGTCATGCCGCTACAGCAGCCACGAAGGCAGCTTCAGCATGCTCGAGGCCCAAACACGTGATGCAACAATCGTGACATCTGGCGCCAGGTAACGACCACATCCAGAAACGCACAGGGGAAACGGCATCTTTAGAAAGACGCACCATCATCTTTACAAAGACGTACCAGTGTATGATCTTCTAGAGAAATTAGCTCTTTCAAAGTGCTGAAGCGCAGTCACACCAACACTAGTGCTGAAGAAGCCTCAGAGCGCTCGTTGACTCATCAGAATACTCCTCTTCAGACGACAGGAGCAGAACAATAGAACCGCTCGGCTCTGAAGCGAAAAGCTGAATATGCGTTGCACCTGCTGCCTACTTATTCTCATGTTACAAGCAGCAGCTGGATGCAGTTATCACATGCCAATGTGCATTGGCTCATTTAGTTTACACTCAAAGTAGATTGGTCTCTTGAAGCGAGATCCCAATTTGTCAGTCGTGACTGACTGAAAGGGAATATTTGATTCTTTCAAAAGGACTCATTCAGGAATGAATTTCATGCATTTGTGAAATAACATGGACAGGAGAGGATTCAGTAAAACTCACAGCAGTGAAAGTTTTTTTTCTTTTTTTTGACTACCTTGTGTAGAAGTTACTGCTGTCTTTAGAGTTGATTTTGTTTTGTGGACTGGAATCACAGCTATCGCTGAATCAGCTTGAGCTGTAAAGATTAATGTTAGTTCAGATTAATCATACTGTAAAATTTGACAATCATATTTTAATTAGTAAACAAAACTAGCACTATACTAGCACGTCTAAAAGAGACTGTTCATATCTGATTGATGAGATTGATTTCTCACCTGAAATCCTGACAGTATATGTGCCTGAGGTTTTGAGTTGATTTCTGTGAGTAACTTCACATTTCCACTCACTGTTTTCATTCAGGTGTGTTGTATTCAGAGTGCTGATACAGTGTCCTGATGAGAATAATATCTGATATCTGGAGTCTGATCTCGTCAGTTTAACACCAGCCTGATTCACCCAGAACAGCTGAATTATTTCAGAACGGATCCAATCATCACAAGAGACTCCAGCAAATGAATATGAATATAACTGACAAGAGAGAGTCACAGAGTGGCCTGCACTGATCTCAGTCTGTGAGGATGATGAAGAGACTGAAACACAAAATAACAACAAATCACACACTTTTCAATTATCATGGGAGTTTAAATGAAGAATTTGCTCTTTTTAAATTAACCACATAATCATAAAATTACCATGAAGAACATGCAAAAAAACATAAGCATCAGTTCCTTGTTGTTGGTGTTGTCCATTCACATCTGTCCATTGTTGGCAGATGTAAGATCCATAATCTTCTTTTGTGACATTCTTGATGTTCAGACAGCAGTCAGACCCCAGACTCAGACTCTCATGTCTCTCGATGTCTGTCTTCTTCATCCCTAAATTAATCAGTTCAACTGCTTCTGAACGACTAAATCTGTTATAGATCCATGTAGTTGATTTGCAGTCATGAAGAGCATTGTTACAGAGCAGACGGACATTTTCACCAGAACTGATGAACACATGAGTCTCATCCACTCCACTGGTACCTAAAACACAATTTGAGTGATCATGTAAGAGAAACTACATGATTTTGCTCTAAGGGAATTATTTTATTTATAGGAAATTTTGAAAGAATCACTGTTTTTTCAGCTGATCAAATTAAATTAATTGAACAGCCATAACTATCAACACTGCAATGGACATTAATATCCAAAACATAGTGAAAACACGGGTTTACTAGCATGGTAACAAGATCAGCAGTTTAAGAGATTAACTTGTAAGCACAGACACAAGATTCTTCTCTTTACATTCAAACAGAAATATATTTGAAATTCTAAGACATATAATGTAACAAAAACACACAATCACACGAGTTGCTGACTTGACCAATTAGAAAGTGTTTTAGCTCAGGGTGTAGATATGTTACCCTTTATTCACACAGTAGTGAGTTTTCCTGCTCTTGCAGAGTATAATTTAAACATGATTCTTACATGGTTTCTTAGGCTGCGTTTACACTGGCAGAAAGAATCTGATTTTTTGCCCACATCTGACTCAAAAATCCACACGAGATCCGATTTTTTCGCATCCGATCTGAGCCACTTCAAAATGTGGATTTTAATCGGACACATATCCGATTCCCTGCAGAACTCTCAATGCGAGGGCGACACGTTTGCCCATAAAGATAGCGTTTTAATGCCGGTGAGCTGAATGTGCTCGCATTTTATAGAGATGGAAACGTAAAAAAAATTGCATATTCAGGAGCTGGTTTTCAACCCCTGTCCCGTGAATTGTATTAATACAACAGCTTCGCTACTAAAAGCTACGTTATTTTTCTTAGCAATGAGGTGATAACTTTCACTTGTTTGCAAGCTTCACACTCGCTCTATCTCTCGCTCTCTGTTGTTAATTCATTCGAATTCATTTAAATAAATATCGTCTTGGCGCTACTTTATTTCACTAAAGAATTCTACCTCTAACGAGCTGTATAGTTCAGTCAGATTTTGAGCTGCAAAACATCCATGACAGCCGTTGTCCATGCTGGCAAATAATACCTCAATGGCCACTCGACGTGAATTATATAAATAATTTAATAGCACGGCCATTCAAAACCCGACGGTCTACCATGTGCCTATAAAGCGATCACTCACAATCATTTTGGGTGGGAATTATGTAAATACAGATATCGGATACCAGTCGTGTCTAAATTGAATGTAAACAGACGGGCCAAAAAATCGGATATGGTCAAAAGATCGGATCTGTGCATTAAGACTTGCAGTGTAAACGCAGCCTTACATACCAAACACAATTATAAAACTATTCAATAGTTATTCAGTAAGGACATAAACAATGAGTGATTAAAACATCAAATGTGTGAGTTGCAGACATTATAAGAATTTGTGCAATGGAATGATGATTGGTTAAGACCTCTAAGCATCATTTTGGCATGATCTTATGCACTTTTGGTATGTTAAAGCAGTCTCTATACCACTCTGCAAGTGGTGAAGGAATTTGAGGATGAGGATGAGGTCTCTGAATGGTCTCTGGAAAAAAGTCTGGTTGTAGCTTTCTGTCTGCGTTGAAAATCAACCCCCCTTTGGTGTTCACTCATGATAGTCATATGTGATATCTTCTCGACCATATTAACCTAGGGTTAAAGCTAACAATGTTGGAGGGGCTTTCCTAGTATTCTTTTTGAAAGCTGTGAGCTTAGCCTTGCTTCAGATTTGCTGGCGGCAGGATATTTGATTTATGGTCATCCATGCTTTCTTTGGGGCCTCTTGTTAAATTCTACTGCTTGGTAAGTTTTGGCACAGTTCTGATCACATTATCATTGCCCAGTTCACTCTAACATGCTACAATTATGCTCTATATTAATAGATGATGCTTCATAAACAAACTCATGTGACAGCAGTGTCAGATGTCAGTGCATTTACAAATAAAACACTATTTGCAAATTTGACTGAGATCATAACATGAATGTCAGGAAGAATAAAGCATGTTCAAACTGACCCAGACTCAGTGCCAGACCAGCTCTAGTAAAACATTTGTGTGTCTGTATATATTAATATTGAACTCTTTAAAGGGCATGTAGAAATGTGTTTACCTGTGAGAAGTGAAGAGAGAATGATCAGTCCCAGCAGACACAAATGACACTTTTCAGCCATTTTCTGTCAGTCTTTTCAGATCCTCAGCAGCTTCTACAGTTGAGATGTTGAGACTGACACAGAATTCAACCTGCTAAAAGAAAGAAGAGGAACTACCAACAGAAATGATTCCCATCAGTCTAATCTGGGTTCAGAGCTGATCTCTGCTTTATTGTGGTCAAACTAACTGAGTTCTCACAAGTTTCCAAAACCTCAACAGTGAGAACATAGCTCTGAAAATACCACAGGAAACATGTAATGTCACACTGTGCAAAACTTTACCACCTTGAGACACCTTGCTTGATTAAAACTGGACAAAAGATTCCACAAAGAATTGAATACAATACACAGACTTACAAAAGTGAAGCAAAAAGTTATCTGGGAAAATACAATCTTGCATACATTGCCTTAAACAGAGTTTAGAAGGAAGCAATAAAGACTTTGCAATTTGACTTTGATTTCTCTGCACTGAAATAATTGGTAAACACAAAAAATCTGATTTTCACACAGAACATATGGTGTAATAACTAAGGCAATAATAGTAAACATTATTCAAGATGTCAGTATAAACTGACTGGATGTATTTACTTTCCTCCTGCATTAATCAAAAGGTGATCATAGTTTACTTAAATCCAGTGCATCTCTTCAGAGTTATTCATGTTACAGACATGTTACTGATGGTCTGATCCATGTCAGGAACGCATTAACAGGGTCTACTAATTTAGCCCTTGGCTGAGGATACTGGGATAGACTCCTGCCCTATGACCCTACAGAGGGACCTATGAGGATAAGAGAGTAAGAGAGACCCATTTAAATAAAAGTTATGAAATTTGGCATTTTAGGTCTGTAACTCAAACCCTCTAGCGCCACCAACAGCTCAAACTTGCACTCAGGTTTATGCTACTATTTTTTTTTAACTGTAAGGATCATTTAGAATTTTCTGAAAAAAAAAAAAACTTGCTCCAATGTTGTGGGTGTGTGTAATGACAACCATGACCTGAGGTTATGACAACCACGACTTGCTATTTCAGACTAAGCCTAAGTGATCGCAAAAGCCCGCTTCTTTTCATTTTAAGATATTATTTTCGTTATAAAGTACTGATTCAAATTAGTAATCAATAATGAATTATAATTCTACTACTCTGCACCTCCCCTGACATGCTCTCGCGCCACACACACCCCGCTTGCATTCATTCACATAATTGGTCGAGATGACAGGTGATCCCGCCTGGGTAGTGTGATTTATATAGCGTCCTTTCTAATCATATATGGGATCATATAATTACCCAGACACTGACGTTTTTACTCTGAGTACCGGCAACTAGGCTTGCCGCGATAGACGGTGCTGACGGTGATATCGGTGTTAAGCCGCAACACCGGTTACGTCACTTGCCCACAGCGTCACCGGCCCCCACCGTCGTTTAGATTTTTTATCGAAATAAAAATAATTTAGTTCAGTAAAAGAACAGACACTACAATTAAAAACTGAACACGGCTTGCTCAATGCAGCGTGCCGAACGACAGTCGCGTCACAGATCAGATTTCATTTCTCCAGCGAGGAGAGCGAGTCGAGCTGACTGAGAAGAAGAGTGAGGTGAGACAGACAAGACGATCGCGGATGATTTAGTTTCGAAACGAGATGCAAAAGCACCTGTTTGGCAATATTTTGGATTTTGAAAAGCCTGTTGACTTTTGCCGTTTATCTAAGGTGATTTTGGAAGTTTTTTTTTAAACATTCGTTTCTTATTTAATTGGTTCCACATTATTTGCTGATTTTTACTTTATTTAAACTTTGCGTAATTTATTATTTTATTTGACATCAAGGTGTATGCCGTGCCTCCAAGCTTTCTTACTCGTTTTGCTAATACATGTTCTACTTTCTTATTTATTTGGTTATATATATATTATACATGTTTACTTAGCCTATTTCCAGTTTTGTATACCTATTTAAACTTTATGTAAGTTATTTGTTATTTTATATTAGGCATAGCCTGCCCTATAGCATGGTGTATTTGTTTTGTTCTATGTTTTATATATAGGCTAAAGTGAGTTTGACGTTGTATTTTGTTGTTGCATTCAAGCAATTGATGCATAACTGCCACTAATTCGAGTGAAAGTGAAAGTGAAAGTAAAATGCGCACGGCGCTTTCAAGCTATTTAAAAGCGACGGAAAGCAAGGAAAAGAGGGAAAATTCAAACGAACAATTGCTTTACGCCGAATTGCCGCTATTTCAAAGTGAAAGTAAAATGCGCACACCGCTTTTACAAGCTATTTAAAAGCGAAGGAAAGCTAGGAAAAGAGGGAACGCCCCCGCCCCCCACGGTGATACCGGTATTACCGGTGTTGTCACACGTCGATTAACTGGTGGGAATATTTCCTCACCGTCGCAACCCTACCGGCAACATGTCAGAAGTGGCGGTACGCACAAAAAAGTGCAGGTACTCTAAAGGTTAAAATATGGAAGTGCCGGTACTGCGTACTGGTGCGTACCAGCCCACTTCAAGCACTGCTTTGGACTAATTTCCATCAAATTTGATCAAAAATCACAATTTGGACACAGCAGCACCTACTGGTCAAAAGTGACAAACGATTAAATCATATTACAAGTGATTGTATTTACTGTATGTTTTTTCAACCTCTGCAGTCAAACAAACTGAACTTTCCCAGCCAGCAATAACATTTCTAAACTTCAACACTGAGCTCATCACTCTGAAAATATTATAATGTGACGTGATGTGTGGCCAAGTATGGTAAACCCATAGTCTGAATTTGCGCTCTGCCTTTATCCATCACAAGTGCACACACACACACACACACAGCAGTGAGTAGTGCACAAACACACACACACCGTGAACACACACCCGGAGCAGTGGGCTCAGTGTCTTACTCAAGGTTCTCACATTAGTCATGGTATTGAAGGTGGAAGAGAGGCCCCCCCCCCCCGGCCCTTTGACAAATGCATAACTTACATTGACACACAATTAATTACAAATTATACTCAATAAAATATTTTAGAGCTTAGCATAACTAATTTAAAGTTTTTACAGATCTAGAAAATCACACTTTTTTTTCAGGTCCAAATATATGTGGACCCAGGCAAAATTTGTATTACTTTAGCTGCTGACCAAAACATATTTGAGTTACAGTTATATAATGAAAATGGTCTTAAAGTGCACACTCTGAGCTTTAATTTGAGGGTATTATCATCACAATTGGAGGAAAGATTAAGGAAGATGGCGCCGACGCTGATGGCTGCCTCCGTGGCGTGCTCCGCAGTTGTTTTTATGTTTTTGTTAGTTTGACCTGTCTTTAGTTATATCCCTGCAATCAGTTTCACCAGAGACGAATTGCTGGACATTCGGAAGTACACACCACCCGATATTTCACCGGTTTTCGACTATTCGGATGTTTTGCTGGACATTCTAGTCGGGGGAGCTGTGGCGCTGATCAAGCGCTTCAGGATGCGCAGATGGGGGAAGTGAGTAACTCTGCTGCTCTGTGTTTCACGGAAACCTGGCTGAAAGACGCCATTCCGGACAGCGCGTTGAGTCTCCCGGGCTTTCAGCTGTTCAGAGCAGATCGCGACGCAGAATCAACGGGAAAATCACGCGGCGGCGGGACATGCTTTTACATCAATGAGAGGTGGTGTACAGATGTAACTGTGTTAAAGAAGATGTGCTGTTCAGATCTAGAAGTGCTCTTCATTAACTGCAAGCCGTTCTATTCGCCGCGGGAGTTTTGCTCGTTCATTCTCGTCAGTGTATACATTCCTCCGCAAGCACACGTGAGCACCGCTTTACAGAAACTCGCTGATCAGATCAGATCAGATCACAGAGACATAACAACAACACCCGGACTCTGTTTTAATCATTCTCGGCGACTTTAATAAAGCCAATCTCTACTCCGCCATTATTGAATCTGTCCTCTGCACTTCAATAACTGTCTGGTTCAGCTCAGCTACCAAATCTGACCTCAGAAGACTACAGAGGGTAGTCCGGACTGCTGAGCGAATCATTGGTACAACCCTCCCTTCTCTCCAAGAACTGAACTTATCCAGAGTGAGCAAAAGGGCTGGCAGAATCACTCTGGACCCCTCACATCCAGCACACTCCCTCTTTGAACTGTTGCCATCTGGTCGACGCTACAGAGCACTGAGCACCAGAACGACCAGACACAGGAACAGTTTCTTCCCTCAGGCAATACATCTCATGAACACTTGACAATAACCGTGGAACACACACTATTTATTCACTCATACACTTATTTATCTAACACTCATACTCAGCCTACACCTCAAATTTGCACGTAATATACAGTACCTGTACATACAAAAAAAAACTGTCTATTGTAATATACCTGCACACACAATTGTCAATTTATATATTTTTATTCCTTATTTACTTGTTCTATTTTTATTTTTATTATCTGTGTTTTTTGTTCTGTCACTGTCATTCTGTCACTGTGGAAGCTTCTGTCACGAAAACAAATTCCTCGTATGTGTAAACATACCTGGCAATAAAGCTCATTCTGATTCTGATTCAGAATTACAGCCCTTTAATATGTACCTCCCCCTTTTTCAAGGGACCAGAAGTAATTAGACAGTTGACTCATGGACAGATGTGGGCTGTTCCTTCATTATTTCTACATCAATTAAGCAGGTAAAAGGTCTGCAGTTGATTCTAAGTGTGCCATTTGCATTTGGAAGCTGTTGCTGTGAACCCACATCATGCGGTCAAATGAGCTCTGCATGGAAGTGAAACAGACAATTGTTAGGCTTCAAAAACAAAACAAATCCATCAGAGAGACAGCAGGAACATTAGGAGTGACCAAATCAACAGTTTGGTACATTCAGAAAAAAAAAGAATACACTGGTGAGCTCAGCAACATGAAAAGGCCTGGACGTCTACGAAGGGCAACAGTGCTGGATGATTGGAGAATGGTACAGAAAAACCCTTTCACAACATCCAGCCAAGAGAAGAACACTCTCCAGAAGGTAGACGTGTCACTGTCAAAGTCTGCA